GTAATGAGAAAAAAAACACAATAGGCATGCAGTCGTCAAGTTTCCGACAGCGAGGGAAGTACTGTCTAAACTCTTTAGACCAATTTTTTTAATTCAATTATATAACACTTTGTAAAGTTGAAATGTCATCTTTCATTTCTACCTTGAATAAAGAGTCTCACTTGCAAGCTTTTGGGAGTACCAAAACTTTAGAAGAAAATAAAAAATTTTCGTAAACTGTCTACAAAGTACGGTTACAAGATATTTGTTCAACTTGAAGAGTCTCGAACAATACTTCCACAGAGATTTTCATAATAAGAAAAATTAATCTCACTAATCCCACCACATATTTTTTGAAAGATGAAAAGGGTGAAAACATTTTAGGTGGTTTCTATGAAATGGAACTACTGACAGTTAAGCATCCAGGTGTATATCTCGTTGAAAAAGTTTTAAAAAAGAAAGGTAATCAACTTTATGTAAAATGGTTAGGATTTAATAACACCCACAACAGTTGGATTGATTAAAAAAAATTATGTAGTCGCTTTCCTCTCAGTCAGTCGAAATAATTGACACGATGAAGTTGGTTGTAGTTGACGTACAAGGTTTTTGTCTACCTAAATTAAATGTAAAAGAACTTGCGATATACGATGGAATTAACACAATACACGAAACATTCAAATCTACACAAGATTTCAAAGAAATCGATGAAAGAATCAAGGAACAAGCAAGATATCTAGAACGTTATTATTATATGTTGAGATTTAATGACGGCTTCAAGGAGCAGACATTTGTAAAAGAAATTTTGTTGAAATACATCAAGGAACATGCAGTGAAGATCTTATACGTAAAAGGAAAATGTAAAGAAAATTATCTTAAGGAAACGCTAGGAAAAAACTGCCCCAAAATTGTGAACCTCGAAACAATTGAAGAAATTGTCTAAAAAAATCCGGGCATGTGATAAACATATTGTTAATATTAAAAAATGTTACTGTTCTTTAAATAATGCTAAATGTATTTACAATTGGTTGTATTCAAGATTTCCTCAATAAAGAATATAATATTAAAATCTGTTTTATTTAATCTCAAGTCAAAACGTCAAAATTAACAATAAAGAAAACTGTCAGGTGTGGGATTCGAACCCACGCTCCCTTTCGAGAATCAGAGCTTAAATCTGACGCCTTAGACTGCTCGGACAACCTGACTATGGAAAAACGGGTCAGGTCGATCGAGCAAAAGGCGGTGACAAAACGTTCAGGTCAGTCACGTGCAGACCAAAGACAAGTCAGCCAAGGCCAGCCATGTGCAGCGACTAAGACCAAAGGTCAATGACCACCCGATGAAAAGTAATGGGGGAGCTGGACCAGTTTGACCTCACTTGACCTCGTCTAGAACCCCCACTATATAACTACTCAATTTGTCGTATTTTCTAAAAGTAATAATATATAGATCTGGTGACTTTATACGGATTCGATTACAATATATTTCCTTCGCTTACGCTCGGAAAGTAAAAATATAGTGTCATTAAAAAAAAGTTGGATGTAAACACGAAAAAATTATAGGTTTTCAAAACACATTCACAGGATATCGCTTAGCTTCTTACACTTCTTACACTGTTACTGGTATTACTTATCTTACTAGTGTTAAGGAACGAGGGAAGTCCTCTCAAAATAACTTTCCAGCAGTTTTTTTAATTTGTGAGGTTCCCAGGTCATTTTGTTATCTAGAACAAGTCCAAAAAATTTAGGTGTTGATAATTTCCATAAGTGAAAAACTAGTTCTTGGGTTTTTTTGTCACTGTTTAGTAATAGATCTCGTTCAGTGGTTTATTAGTGATTTAATCTTATTACACACTGTTGGCGATTTTATAAGTGAGTTTTTAATATTGTTACGAACGCCGCCAGGTACGACGCCAATGGGTCCTAATATGTACGGCGATAATGACTCATTATCGGTGACAGCAGCCGGATAATAGCCTGGAAGCGGATGTCGCGACGGGTGTTCGGGAATAAGCCTAGAAGTGGTGACGGAGACCTTCGAGAAGGACCGCGCGGCTGTTTGAATGAGAACCACCGTCGGGAGCAGACAATGGGAGAAGTCTAGTCAAATCCATTCCAGTCGAGTCGGAATTATTTTGTACATAATTGCTCTGTAATTAGTCGTGTAAATTGGAGTTATTAAAAAATAAAATTGTTGAGTTTTACCCACGCCAATTTTATTCACCGATCAACGTAACAATATATTAGTACTCTAGAAAGTATAAAAGTTCTCATATAGTTCCTAGTCTAAAGGACTTTCGTGTGGATATTGACACACAACCTAATGAGTAGTATAGGCCACTCAAAAAACTGTGTCGACCAATCACCGAGTTGAGTAAGAGACAGTTCTTTAATTCTATAAGCCAGCACACCAGTAAACCTTAATGCGAAATATTGCATATCTGTTGAAAAAATCCAAACTACTTTTTATCATTTCTTTCCAGTCAAGTACATCGCAATACATCCGAAACAACAAATATATTGATTTAGTGATAGAACTAGACAATTAGGGATAATTTTCATTATAAAGTAAAATTTATAAAATAAAACCAACTCTAGCTTTACTCCCATATAAAAATAAGTATATTTAGGCATAACATTAATAAAAAAAATAATACCCGTAATATAATGACACAAACATTGAGCTCAAAAACAGTAAACATAATTGTTAACAAAACTGGTTAACTTACGTTTTAAAGAAAACATCTTTCCTGATTGTTTAAAAATAGTAGTTTTTTCTAAAATCGTAGAAAAATGCATGACAGTAAAACTCAGAACATTCCTAGAAAAAAAAACTAATATGTCAGCATCAGTATGATTTTAGAAAGAATTTGACAACAACTGATGCAATTTTACCAATTGCAAATATACATAATATTAGATGAATCTGAAAATCACAAAAGTACCAGCACTGTGGTCTGTGTCCCATCTAAAGTATTTGATTGTATCCTGCACGAGATCTTGGAGGTTATATCAATCCTGACGCTATTAATTCTATAGGTACCAACTAGTGAAAATATTAAATGGCAATTCGTTTTTGCATTTAAGCAAATAAAAATTGGGGCACCCCAAGGGTTCGTAACTGGACCTTTACTATTCACAATATACATAAACGATAGTGATAAAAACTCACATTCTAAAATAAGTTTGTGTGTCTTACTATAGGGTCATGCTCACCACAAGGAAAAATATTCTCGAAGCAAAGAAAAGTAGCAAGAATTGTTGCTAGCCTGCATTACAGAAGCGGCTGTCCAGAAACCTTTATTAAACTGTTCTCTCAATTCTACTTTATTGACATCAGGTTTTTGAAAAAAAAAATCCAACTTTTATAACATTTTACCAGTTGACTCTGAAACTACAGAACCTAAAGTTTTGAGGTTATCGTTAATCAAAATTGATCCGTTTATATAAAAAAAAATATATTTTGTGGTTTATCAATGCATTCATATTTTTTAGAATTCCTTATACAGTGTGTTTCAAAAAAATTAATGAAGTAATTTATTTTCCCACCAACCATATGTGACGGCTTATGTTTTACTAAAGTGGCGAAACTACGGTCATCGGAATTTCTATTTCACCATTGAATAAAAATTGTTATTAAAGTACGTTCTTATTTATAACTTCTTTAGGATTCTTGACGTAGTACCTAATTCAGCTTCCATACAGTTACATTTTAGGCAATATAACAGGCAATTAGGAAAAAATAACTAAAGCTTTCTTTCGTGTAACCCATTATTTGTACCTATAGAAGTATTGCATGAAAGCGTATTTAATAAATGAAAAGACATTTTCCCTAGGATCCGCACTCTACTAATCACAAACTGTATGACTAGTATATTTTCGATTAGTACGGTGACAAGTTTTCGAAATTATAGAATTGTATAATATATATTCTATCCCTCTTATTTGCGGGACTGCAAAATTCTTGTTGAAAAAAAAAATGAGTCCAGTAATGCCTCATCTCGATTACAGACTAATTTAAATAATAGTAGTACTATATATACTCTATATAAATATGTTTTTCTTTTTTTTGGAATGTTCTGAGACTGACGCTTCATTTGTGATCATTGAATTACTCTGATGGTCATATTTCTGTCGTCATTATGTTCTTTTATTGTTTTTTCCCTGTTGAATAAAAATATTTTGGTTAGGGTTTTACCATGTGCACGGTATACTTAAAATAGTACATTTCAAATTTTACTACAGTTTGTTCAGGATTATTTATATAATAAAACGCCAAGAAAAGACAGATGGCAGACACACGGAAACGGAAGACCTACCTACTTGTTCATATTCTACAAGCTAGGAATTGTCGGAAAACGATTACAATACTGATTATTTTTCGAGCGTACCCTCGGAATTTTGATTTGCTGTACAAGTCGCAGCATTTTAAAAACAAACACAATTTTTAAAATTCTAACATGGTGTTAAAAGTCTCACTCGATGACGATTTTTGCAAAAAATGCCACTTCTAACAGAAATCTATACTACAGAAAAAACGGCAGATCTGATTATTTTAGGTTTTCAACTACTTTTTAATCTTTTCAAACATGGTTCGTATATATTTTGAGATATTTTAATTACAAGTTAAAAACAGAAATTAAGTAATAAATTATAATTTGGTTTTTAGTTTGGATTGCATATTATTACACATAAATTTTATTGGATATACTGGGGGTGGAAAATCAAAACTGGAGTGGTATTTTGTTTCGACCAATAGAATACGAAGCGATAACGAAGCGATAAATGACAAAGACGAAAATATAAATTTCAGATGCGAAAGAAAAAGACGACCACATTTTATCGGTACCGATATTTTATCGTTATAGAAACAAAATCCCACCCCTGGAAACTGGGATACTGCAAATTGAATAGGTTTAAAACCTAAAAACCCCAAAACCCCATTCCATTTAAAAATCACTTGTTGGTGTAATATAAGTTTCGATGATTTACTGGGCAATTAGGTTTTGGAAAGAATTAATTGAGTTCTAGTGTAGTACCTAGTGTTAGATTCAGAATAGGTAGTTCCATTCTCATAGAAACGAAAAAACTTTAAGTGACCCCTCGACCCAAAAGAAAATCTTATTGACTTCTCAAGGACTTTGTTTTCATTTTCATATACTCGTCTTCATCAGGTTTTAAATCCATCTGTGCTTTTTTTTCCTCGTGTTGGCGCTTTTTCCCTCCAGCACACTGTTATCAACTACTCTGGAAAGATGCTCGAGGAAGAAGTCTCGAGGGTTGTTTAAGGACTTTTCCTTAGCTGTCTGTTCATATACTGTCGTCAGTCGATCAGACAAGACGTTACGAAGGCTTTCTTTATCCAAAGTTGTACACTTGTCTTCTTGGTTTGTTGAAAAACGGCATACATTTCTGTAGTTTCTTTGAATTGCTAGAATAATGCAGACAACTGTCATCAGAATTGCGTACGCTGACAAAAAATCTAGTGCCAACGCATGTATTTCCATATCTAAAATTAAAAACGCAATGTCTTGAGGTCGTTTATATCTTGAAAATAATTAATACTTACTTTGGTCAGTGGAAAGAAGTGGAAAACTGTACCCTTGACTGACAACGATCCTGAATATATTTGAATTCTTATCGCAAGTTTATTTTTTTCTTAAAATAAATAAAATATAAGGAAAGATCTTTGATATGAATTAGATAACAATGTTGATTATGTTAGTAAGTATGTAGTTCCAAGTATGTTTACGCTGTGACAAGCCAAACTTTCCGACGAAATTGAAACTGATTCTGAAACGCAGGAAATATTTAAATTTTGGCCAAGAACTGTGATCCCAGCACACTACAAACTAAAAAATCGCTTGTCGGTGTAACATAAGTTTCGAAGATTTGGTGGACAATCAGGTTTTGGGGAGAACTGCTTGGGTTCTAGGTACGCACTAGTGTTAGATTCAGAACTGGTGGTCCCATTCTCACACAATTGAAAAAACTCTAAATGATCTGTAGTTCCAAAAGAAATTCGTGTTTCATTTTTCATTACCACAGTTGCGTATTCGCTTGAATAAATAAATGGATCTGTGTCTTTTTCCTCATACCGACAATTTCTTCCCCCTGCACAGTTATATAATTCACTGTCATCAAGGATTTTGGAAAGTTTTCGAAAAAAAAAATCTCGAGGGTTGTCTAAGGAGTGCTGAGTTGTTTGTTCACACGTGTAGACTTTCGTCAGTAGGTTAGACAAGACGTTAAGAAGGTTTTCTTTATGTAAAGTTTTCAAGTTGTCTCCTTGGTTTATTAAATTTCTGTGGTGTCTTTGAATTGCTAAAACAATGCAAAGAATGGTAATCAGAATTGAGTACGTCGACAAAAGAGCTAGTGCCAACACGTGTATTTCCATGTCTACAATTAAAAACGCATTTGTTTTAATGTCTTTGGGTGTTAAAAATAACTAATAGATGCTTACTGTGGTCAGTGGACGGGAGTGAAAAACTGCACATCTGACTGATAAAAATATTAAAATATATTAACTGTCTGAATTTTTATCACAAGTTTATTTTTTGTTAAAGCAAATAAAGTACAAGAAATGAACCTGATAAGAGTGTTGATTTAGTCAGTAGGTGCACTATTTAGTCATAAGGATGTTTATGGTGTGATAAACTGAACATTTCGTCAAAATTGAGACATGCACACAAAAATTACGAAACCTGAGGAATATACCTACGTTGTGTTTCGAAATGGTGGAATGCGTTCAACTGCAAAAAACTGAAGGAGAGGATAAGTTACATTAAATATGTATATTGGGACAAAAAATGCGAAACACCTCAACAAGAAAATCATTAATTGAGAGATTTTCATTATCAAGACAGAATGTAAGAAGGGGATCCCTGAACTTAGAAAATGTATACAATAGATAAGTTTCGTAATTGAAGAAATATTTCTTGAAAGAAACGAAATGTTTCACCCCACAGCAAGATCAAACTTGAACCACACACCCTTAAATCCAGAAAGAATGCAGGAATACCGAAGAAATCTCCACACCCCACAAACCAGATAACATAATAAGTGGAAAAAACTGCATGGAATGTTCATTAAAGAGCTAAACGAAACTTACATCAACAAGATGTCATTGATTTGGTTAAAAAATCAAGTTTATATGCCGAAACAGAAGGGTTTTTGTTGGCCAGTGAAGACCAAGTAATTGTACAAACGTCTTCTCATCTGAACATTTTCTTTATCTAACTAGGTAGTACTGCACCGGTACTACTTCTACGCACAAATTTTTAAACTGATCACGTCCTGTGAATAACCCCAATCTCACCTCCTATTTTAGACACTAGTTAGCGCTGCGCTTCATTATTGCATTTGTGCGCTTCTCCGTACAACGTTCCCGCTTACAGATACTTTTCAGGTACTGCTAATTCTTTCCTTTTCGGGTTCTAATACCTTTTCCTCAGGAATATTTATTTGGGAGTAACTTGGGTGAAATCATTCAGCAAGCTAAAGCAATCGAAAAAGTGGGAAAGGAGCTAAAAGCGGGTCCATCTCACCATACACAGTGTAATGCAATTTATGTTTAAAAATTGTTATATGCCATCAATTGATCTGAAGGACGCATATTTTTTATTGCCTCTCAGACAAAAGTGTAGAAAACTTTTACGTTTCCATTTTGAAAACATCTATTATGAGTTCATTTGCATGCCATTCGGGTTGTCTACAGCCCCATTTACTTTTACATAGCTAACTAAGCCCCTAAGCGCGTAATTGCAACAATATTTCATTAAACGTCTACCTAGTTAGATAAAGAAAATGTTCAGATGAGAAGACGTTTGTACAATTAAACAGGTCAAACGATTTTGTGAAGTTCGACCTTAATTGTACTAATCTTCTCATCTGAACATTATGCTCTATCGTCTCTCGCCCTTCTCCACACATCCTACACATTCTCTCACCTTCGCTTACCCAAAACTTATTATTTCTTTCTTCATTTCCACACCTAAATCTCGCAATTATTTTTATTTCTTTCGCGCTTTCTCTGTCTAGGTACTTTGGTATTGTTTCTGTTATTATGTTTCTATAGTCTGCATTGTACCTAGATTTACTTACACTCGCTCTTCTCTCTTGTTTGTCTATGTCTCTGTCACGTATACACAACTCTTCTCTCATACTCTCTATTTCCATCCATGCGTATCCCAGTCTTTCCTAATATCCTTGTATACCCTTGTGATGTTCTTTCCCTGTTTCCTTTTTTTTTTCCTTCCAGCATTCATACAATATCCCACATTCCTCTCTTTCTGTCAACCTTTCATCATACTGTACAGCTCTTTTCCCAATGTATACTCTTAATTTCTCTAGTTTACATTCTTCTCTTACTATATAGCCTGGCGCCTCTTTCCGTAGCCCTAACATCCACCTCAAATATTTTTCTTGTGCTGCTTCCATCTCTGGATATTCCTTCCATCCCCATATCTCCACTCCATACATTAATACACTCCTAACTAAACTATCAAACATTTTCATCCCTCTTCTTACGTCATGTCCATATATTCTCTCACCTATACTCCACACCATTCCCATTATCTGCATTGCTTTGACCCTTCTTTCTCTTATGTGTGCTTTCACCGTGTTAGTTGTTGTAAACTTAAATCCTAAATATTTAAACTCCTTTACTGTGTCTATGATTCGATCTTCCCAACGCCACACTTTTTCCTCCCCTTTTCTCCCTTTTTTTCTAAACACCATCATTTTTGTTTTTTCTACATTTACCTCCAGTTTTTTTCTTTTACAGTATCTTTGCAGATTTTTCTTCGTCTCATTCATTCCACATTCATTCTTCGTCAATACTACCAAATCATCTGCAAATGCCAAACACCTATGAGCTGTTGTATTAAATGCAAAAATTTGGTCGTCAACCAAATTAGTTGTAACAAATGCGGAAATGTTTTTCATCCAAGCTGTCTAAGACAGTTTAAAGGATTTTTAGGAATCGCTAATGACATAACTTCTGTTAATAGTTGTCCTCAGTGCGACAAAGGAGCTAAAATAAATACTTCAAACATTGGTACTTCCTCATCCTCTACGGAATTAATTAATCTTCAACGGCAAATCAGTGATTTAAAAGACTCCATGGTTAATACGATGGATCATATGGTGAAAGCAGTCGAGAATAACCTGGTTAAATTATTTGATGATTTGCGTGTTAACATGAAATCTATAATCTCCGAGTCGATTAAAACAGAATTTAATAATTGGAATTCTGAAATTAGTAATGATCTGCGTACTGATGTAAAATCCTGTTTATCTGAGTCTAGTTCTTCTCTTCAGACTGAGTTTGCTAAATTGAAATCGACATTTAGTATCGTTTGCAATGAAAATCTTGTACAAAACCCAAAAGTCAATTCCGTAGAAATGAATCTACCTAATTTACTTGATGACATGTGTCGTAGCTTAAAATCTTGTATTACTGACTCATTAAAGTCAGAATTTGATGGTCTGAAACCGGCAGTTTGCGAACTCCGTGAGAAAATCCTAAATAATTCAAAATTAGCAACTCAATCTCGTCCACCTTCAGTAATAAATGCTCCTGAGACCCCTAAGGCTACGAATATCAAAAAGAAAGTTGTCTTATTATCTGACGAAAAAGGGCATAATTGTGTAAACTTGCTGAAATTTTATTTAAAATCTGATGAATACGATGTATTTTCCATTCTTAAACCTGAAGCACCTATATCTGTTCTTCTCAATACTGATCGCGACACTAACGGTATTATTTCGTCACTTACAGTCAACGACTACCTAATTATTTTTGGTGGCAATCATGAGGTTAAATCCGGCATACTACCCCAGATGAATACGTTCACTGATATAATAAAGAATACGAATACCGTTTTTATAGGATGTCCCTATTTTCTGAAACGCCCTATTTTAAATAGTTTGGTCTCTCAACTAAATGACACTCTGCGTAGACTAGCTGAATCTAATAATAACATATTTTATTTGGACTCAAACAATATTTTAGAAAAACAATTTAAAACTATCAATTTTACATTCAAAGAGGCTTCCAAGAGATCGATAATGAAGCATGTGGCTGATGGTATTTTGATCAAAGAAACGACTATTTTGACTAACGGGACTTCTTCCACATTCTCTCGATCTGTTAATCCTTTTTTATAAAATATGATGATGCGCTTCCTATTTCTAACAATGATTTCAATGATTTTTCGGACCGTCGACCTAAAGTAACATGCATGTACCAAAACGTTAGGGGTTTAAACTCTAAATTAACCTCATTCTACAATAATATTCTAGCGCTTTCTGATGAGTTTGATATTTTTGTTTTGACTGAGACTTGGCTGCACAACGATGTATCAAACGCAGAACTGTTTCCTGATGATTTTGCAGTTTACCGATGCGATCGAAACTTTGAACGTTTAGGAAACACCAGAGGTGGTGGTGTCCTGATTGGTGTAAATAATACTAAACTGACTTCTACGAATATTGATGTTAGTAACATTGTTGAAACCGTTCCCTGTATTGACCTTATAGGCGTCAAGGTAAAAACATCCTATCATCAAAATCTCTTTATCTTTGCCGTTTACATTCCGCCTTGGACAACTTTTCAAGATTATGAAACATTTTTCGAATATGCTGGCATTATTGGCGAAATGCATGATAGGACTGTTCTTTTTCTAGGAGACTTCAATACATCCACGTATTGCAGTAATATTAATAATAACTACAGTCAATGTTTGAATCACTTTGTAGAACTTACCAACCTCACTCAATATAATAATGTAAGTAATTGTTTCGGTAATACGTTAGATCTTATATTCTCTTCTTCCTGTTGTCCTGTGGAAAAGTCTAGCTTCCCTCTAGTCCAAGAAGACGCATTTCATCCTCCATTAGAATTTGATATAGATTGTAACATTAAAAAGGCTGATATCTTTTGTTTAAATTCAAGCAATTATATCTATAACTTTAAAAAAGCGGATTATCCTGGTTTATATAATGCATTATTACATATTAATTGGTCTGAGCTTGGAAAAATTAAAGATGTTAATTTAGCTTGCCAACACTTTTACACAATTTTATTTAGGACTTTTGATTTATACATACCAAAGACTGGAGGTTTCAAAAGAAAATACCGTCATTATCCACCTTGGTTCGATAAGGACATTATAAGAAGTCTTCGATTAAAAACCAATATGCGTAAAACATTTCTGTCGAATCATAATCCTCAGACATATATTGAATTTAAGAGACTCAGAGCAGATGTTAAAAAGAAAATTTGCATAGCATACGCAAAATATATTAGGGATATTGAAAATAATATTATCACAGACCCCAAGAAATTCTGGTCGTTCATTCATTCCAAACAAGGCAAGACGCGTATACCTGGAGTACTAACATACGATGGAAAAACTATTTCTAATCCGACGAATATAGTTAACAGCTTTGCTGATTTTTTCAAAAGTGTTTACACTTCTTCCCAGCCTATTAGTGCCGACATGGTTTCAGAAACATTTCCCAATAATTTGACCATCAGTGTGTC